ATACCGGAAGCATTGGCTGGCGAGCAAGTCCGTCGCAACGACAGGCACCGCCCCCTTCCTGCTTTGCTCCGTGGGGCGTTCTTAAAGGGGACGTTGCCTCCAGGCCACTGGAGCTGGTGTTGGGAGGGGGGGAAGCGGAGGTTTAACGAGAAGCGGATGGAGTCGGAGACGGGGACTGAAGCCGGGAGCTCTGCGCTGGGACCCCGAAAGCGACTCTGCGCCGCTCAGCCTGGCGCCCCTCTGGTTTGTCTTCTGAGCTTCCTCGGGCGCATCTGTGAAATGGGAATAAACAAACTCCCAGCTATGCTTTCTTACCTTCAGGCGTTTCTCCGGGCAAGTCCGCGGTGTTTGCACGAGCAGCTCAAGCCATCTGCGGGGACCGCTGGAAAACCCACCCTGAACACTTAGTAACAGGAGAGGGACCTGTCCAAGGTCACCGGAATCCCCGGAGCCCAACACAGGTTGCCCTGATGCTACTCAGCTGGCGAGCGAGGCTGCAGGGCTGCAGGGAGGAGGTCCTACCCGTGGCACCCTCGCCTAGAGGGTGATAAGGGGCCCGGAGTGATAAGCCCCGCCCTAGTGCCCGCGAAGGGGCGGGGAAAGGTGGCATTTTTCGATTAGATGCTTTTTTTAAAATAATGATTTATTTATTTAATTTTATTTATTCATTCATTTTTTTTTCTTTTTTTTTTGGAGAGATTTTTGCTATAGGGCGCGTGCGCTCCCCAGACAGACAGAGAGAGACAGAGAGACAGAAAGTGAGAAATCACCCCCCAGGGGGGATGGCCACGCTGCAATCCCTTCTCCATTCTCCTCTCGGGATCTTGGGCACGTACGCACATGCGCCCTATCTGAGTTTAAGCCACCGGGTCTGGGACGCGAACCGTGGTCGCCTACGTGGGAGTCCAATGACATAGCCATTACACCAACTGCTTGTCCCCATTCATTCATTTATTTTTCATTTGACAGAGACACGGGGAAGGGGGCAAGGGGAGGAACGAGAAAGCAGGCTACCAGGTCAGGGATTCGAACCTTGGTTAGGCAGGTAGGAGTATTCTGTGCCTTAACAACCACACCACCTGCAGGTTCACTAGATGAATTTTTTTAATTTAATTTTATTTATGCATTCATTCATTTATTTTTTTCTTTAATTTGACCAGAGAGAGACAGAGAGAAACAAAGTGAGAAAGGAAGCCATCAAATCCAGGACTTGAAGCACATTGGCGTGGTGGTTAAGGTGCTAGACACCTGCTGGCCCCTACATAGATTTTTTAAAAATAATTTTTAAAAGAGTTTTTTAATTAGATTAATTAATTATTATTATTATTCAACCTGATGAGAGAGAGAGAGAGAAAGCGAAAGAAAGCTGCCAGGTCCAAGACTTGAACCATGGTCAGCCATGTGGGGAGTTCAGTGCCTTAACCACCATGCCACCTGCTGGCCCCAAAATAATTGTTTTATTTAACTTTATTTCTTTATTTAAATTTGACCAAAAGAGGACAGAGAGAGAGAAAGAGAGAAAGCAAGCCACCAGGTCTGAGACTCAAACCTCTGTTGGCTGTGTGGGAATCCAAGGAGTGGACCACCATACCACCTGCTGGTCCCAATTAGATGGATTTTTTTTTTTAAGAATTATGTATTTATTTAATTCCGTTTGTTAGTATTATTATTTTTTTATTTGACCAGAGAGAGACAGAGAGACAGAAACGGAAAGCGAGAAAGCAAGCTTCCTGGTCCAAGATTTGACCAACAGTCATCCATGTGGGAGTCCAATGCATTAACCACCACGCCACCTGCCAGCCCCTGATGAGATGGATTTTTAATGGATCTTGTTTGGAAATTGGGGAGACTTATTCCTCCTCCCTCCATCCGTGGTTTTTTTTTTTTTTTTTTTTTTTTTTCCCTTTCCTTCCTGGCAGTTTTTGGGTTTTTTTTTAAGAGGTTTTTTTTTTCCTATAGGGCGCGTGAAATCACCCCCCCAGGGTGCAATCCCTTCTCCTCCATTCTCCTCTCAGGATCTTGGGCACGCACGCACACGCGCCCGGCATGAGTTTTAAGCCACCGGGTCCAGGACACGAACTGTGGTCGACTACGTGGGAGTCCAGCAACATAGCCATTACGCTAACTGCTGGTTCCTGGCCTGGCAGTTTTGATAGCCCCTTTCAGATCCATCTGACATTCCTTTTTGTTTCTCTCCATAATTTCTCATTTAAGTTTTTTTAAAAATTATTTATTTAGTTTTATTTATTCATTCATTTATTTTAATTTTTTAAGATTTATTTATTTATTCATTCATTCATTTATTCATTCATTTTAATTTGACCAGAAAGAGACACAGAGAGAGAGAGGAAAGTGAGAAAGCAATCCACAAGGTCCAGGACTTGACCCATGGTCGGCCATGTGGGAGTGTCCAGCACCTTAACCACCATGCCACCTGCTGGCCCCCATTCCTGTTTTTAATATGTTTTTTTTCCCCTCTTTTTTATATTATACTGTAAGGGTTAACTGGTGCTTGTAGCTTCTGTAACTAATGTAATCTGTAACTATTATAACAAATAAGGTCATAACCCTGATTGCTTACAAGAGAAAACTTAAGCTGCTTGCTTGTTTTCTTAAGTTCTTTTTTTCTGAATTTTTAAAATTTAACTTTTATTTATTTATTTTAATTTGACCAGAGAGGTACAGAGTGAGAGAGAGAGAGAAAATGAGAAAGCAAGACTTGAGGTCTAAGTCTCGAACTGTGGTCAGCCATGTGGGAGTCCAGCACCCTTAGCCACCATTCCACCTGCCGGCCTTATTCATTTAATTTATATTTATTATTATTATTATTATTGAATTTGACCAAAGAGAAAAAGAGAGAGCCATGTCTCGGACTCAAACCACAGTCAGCCATGTGGGAGTCGAAGACATTAATTACCCCACCACCTGCATGTCCCATCATTCCTTTTTTTTAAAGTATTATTTTATTTAACTTTATTTATTTCTTTATTTTCATTTGACCAGAGAGGGACAGTGAGAAAGCAAGTGGCCAGGTTCAAAACCACGGTTGGCCCTGTAGGAGTTCAGCACTCTTTTTTTTTTTTTTTTTTTTTTTTTGAGAGAGATTTTCGCTATAGGGCGCGTGCGCTCGCCAGACAGACAGAGAGAGACAGAGAGACAGAAAGCGAGAAATCACCCCCAGGGGGGATGGTCACGCCGCACTCCCTTCTCCTCCATTCTCCTCTCGGGATCTTGGGCACGTACGCACACGCGCCCAGCGTGAGTTTTAAGCCACCGGGTCCGGGACGCGAACTGCGGTCGACTACGTGGGAGTCCAGCGACATAGCCATTATGCTAACTGCTGGTTCCTGAGGAGTCCAGCACTCTTAACCTCCACTCCACCTGCAGCCCCAACCATTCCTTCTTTTAAAAAAACAAAGAAAGACAGAGATTATTGTTTTGGGGACCAACAGGTGGCATAGTGGTTAAGGCCCTGGACTCCCACATGGCCAACAATAGTTTGAATACTGAACCTGGAGGTTTGAAACTCACCCCAGACTTGTGTATGTGTGCATACTAAATGCCAAGAGGAAGGACCAGCAGATGGCGTAGAGATTACGTTGCTGGACTCCCACATAGCCAATAGCAGTTCAAGGCCCAGACCCAGTAGCTTGAAACACACAAGGAACATTGGGGGATCAGCAGTTAGCATAATGGCTATATCACTGGACTCCTACATAGTCAACCACGGTTTGCATCCCAGACCCAGTGGCTTAAACTCATGCTGGGTGCGTGTACGTGTGTGCCCAAGATCCCGAGAGGAGAATGGAGGAGAAGGGATTGCGACGTGGCCATCCCCCCAGGGGGTGATTTTTCTCTCTCTCTCTCTCTGGTCAAATTGAAGAACAATAAAATAAGTAAATAAATAAATAAATAAATGTATTTTGGCAATCACACACATGTGCCTTGTATATTTCTCAAGCGACCAGGTCTAGGATGTAAAGTGTGTAATCTGCAATGTGGGATCCAGCTGCTTTGACCACATCACTGGCTGGCTCAACTTTCAGGAACTGGAGATAGTAATATTATTTTTCTTCAAGAATTATTTATCTTTCTTTATTTATTATCATTCTTCAGTTTGACCAAAGAGAGAAGAGAGAGAGGGAGAGAGAGAAAGTGAGCTGTCAGGTCCAGGACCCAAACCACAATCAGCTATGTGGGAGTCCATCCCCTAAACCACCACACCACGGGCTAGTCCCAGGAGTAATATTATTATTGTTATTTTTGGAGAGGTTTTTGCTATAGGGCATGTGCACTCCACAGAAAGACAGAGAGAGAGAGACAGAAAGACAGAAAGTGAGAAATCATCCCCCGGGGGGATGACCATGCCGCAATCCCTTCTCCTCCATTTTCCTCTTGGGACCTTGGGCTTGCATGCACATGCACCCGGCATGAATTGAAGCCACCAGGTCTGGGACTTGAACATGGAAGTCCAGCGATGTACCTACTACGCCATCTGCTGGTCCCAGTAATATATATTAGAGATTTTCACTATAGGGCAAAAAATCACTAGAGAGACAGAGGGAGACAGAAAGACAGGAGAAAATCACTCCGTAGCGGGGATGGTCAAACCACAATCCCTCTCCTTTCTCCTCGTAGGATTTTGTGCACGCACGTGCGTGCCCCTGGGATGACTTTAAGACACCGGGTTCAAGATTCAAAGCAGGGTCCACTACATGAGAGTCCAGTGACATAACTAGTATGCCATCTGCTGGTACCTGCGAGTTATATATATAAATTTCTTTTTTCAGGGGGGGGGGAGAGGTTTTTGCTCTAGGGCAGGTGCATTAGCCAGAGAGACAGAGAGACAGAAGGTGAGAAATCACCCCTCCCCCCAGGAGGAACAGCATCCTGGGAGTGCTTTCTTACTTTCTCTTCCTTGACCCTGTGAATGTCCTGTAACAAACTTAAAAATAAATAAACAAAAATAAATTAACTTTGGGGTCAGCAGGTGGTATGGTGGTTAAGGCACTGGACTCCCAAACGGCTACCGACAGTTCGAGTCCCGGAGCTGGCAGCTTGCTTTTGCATTTTCTCTCTCTTTCGATCGGGTCAAATTAAAATGAACGAATGAATAATTGCATGAATAAATTCTTTACAAAAAAAAAAAAAAAAGTCCTCCTGGTTTCTCCCTTTTCGGGCTCCTTTGGAGAGCCGGCTGGCCTAATACGCAGGCGCCGGAGGGACTGCTTGATTGGCTAGTTGTTATGACGTAAAGAGAGGGGGAAGATCCTCCTAAGCCCCGCCTTTTTCTGCCGCGCCTCCACGCACGCCAATCAACCCAGGGCTCCGTCGCCTCCACGCACGCCCGCACGCACGTTGCGCCGTGACGTCACGCGGCGCGGGCGCCATCCCGGAAGCGCCGGCCAGGCCGCCAGATGTGTAGGTGCCTCCGCTACCGACGCCGCGGCCGAGTTTGGGGCTGGGGGCTGGAGACCTCGGGGTTACGGGGTCGTGGGGCCGGATCGGGCGCGGTTCCCGGTCTGCCGAGGGGTGGGGCGCGCCTCTGGCCACATCTGGGCGCTCCTGCCTCAGTTTCCCCGTCTGCGCCGTGGCTGCGTAGGCGGCGCCGCCGACCGGATTCGGATCCGGGGAGCGGGATTTGGGGGCTCCCCTGCGTTTGTGTGTGCTGTGTTCGTGGGAGCCGGGCGTGGCCCTGTTTGTGCCTCAGTTTCCCTGCTTTGTAGGGGGGGGCGCGTGAGGTTATTCAGGCCTCGATCCCCTCGATTTTTTCCAGCTGGTCCGTCTGATGCAGGTTGAATAGCTTAGGTGGACGCTTCAGGTCTCTCTGGTGTCACCTTGGGTACCGAGCCCGCGAGCCTCAGTTTCCCCTCTGAGATGATCGTCTTTGGCTTCTAGGGGTGATGGAGGATTCAATGAAGCGCTTTGTAAATGTTTGCTCCGATGCTTAGAAGAACCTGGGAGGTCCTTGTTCGGGTCCCATCCTGGGAGCTTTTATTATTTTTTTAAATTTTCTTAATGGTTTTTTATTAAATACTTATTTATTTAGTCATTTATTCTTTTTTTACTTTTTTTTTTCTTTTTTGGAGAGGTTTTTGCTATAGGGCGCGTGCACTCGCCAGACAGACAGACAGAGAGACAGAGAGACAGAAAGCAAGAAATCACCCCCAGGGGGGATGGTCACACCACAATCCCTTCTCCTCCATTCTCCTCT